ACTCTGTCAGATCTTTTTCAAGTCTGACTTCTCCTCTTCCTTCATGTTCTAACTCCTTGCTCACCTGCTCGGAAGTGATGTCTCCTGACCATCTGAGCTCAAATAGCCAACGCAACATTCCCTAAACAAGCAAAGATTCCGACCAGTGGAGGCCCCGTGTGTTACAGAGTTAAACCATTCCATAGGGTTTTCTTGGCAGACATCTTTACAGAAACAGGTCACCAAGCCTTTCTTCAGCAGCATGGCTGGGTGGGTTCGAGCTCTCAACATTTCAGTTAGCAGTCAGGCAAAATTGCGACACCTAGTCTCCTAAGTAGAGGATCCCTAGCAACACAATGGTTAAGCGCTTGGGTGCGGATCGAAAGGTGTGTGTTGTTGTAGGTTGGCAGTTCAAACCTTCCAGCAGCTCCTTGGAAATGCTATCTAGCATCGCTATGAGTTGGAACCAACTAGATGGTACTTAATAACGAAGAGAAGCTAGTCCTCAGGAGAAAGGTATGGTCCTCTGTTTCTGTAAAGATAAGAGCCAAGGAAACCCTATGGGGCAGTTCTACTCCATCACACGGGGTGGCTGTGATTTAGAATCAACTCCATTACACGTAACAACATCTCAGCCGTAGATACTAAGGTTTCCGGATGAGCCTTACATCCCGGTTGTTGTTGAAGTTGTCATTTAACTCTGTTGAATTGTTTAAAAATATGACAACGTTGCTATTTCTGTAAATTAATTGTGATTGTTGTTGTTATGTGCCGTGGAGTCGGTTCCGACCCATAGTGAACCTGTATGGGGTTCCCGAGGCTGTAAATCTTTACAGGAGCAGAAAGCTTCATCTTTCTCCCTCGGAGTGGCTGACCTTAAATGAATACTTGTTGTTAAATGACCCAGAGTCAGTTCCAACTCATAGTGACTTTATATAGGATTTCCCAGGCTATAAATTCTACTGTGGCACTATAGGATCAGTACTGGCTGTGAACCACAAGGTCAGTGGTTCAAACCCACCAGCTGCTCCTTGGAAGCCCTATACAGGGTCGCTATGAGTCGGAATCGACTCGACAGCATTTAACAACCATGAACCTTTCTGTTAGTCACCGGGGTTTATCCATCCGTGCCACACAAGAACTCATGAATTAAAGGACATCCCTGATTTATGATAGATTAGAGTTACACAAACCACCTGTATGAATGACTGTCCATTTTAACAACAGATCTTTACGGGAGTGGAATGCCTCATCTTTCTCCTGATGAATGACTGGTCAGCTCAAACTGCAGACCTTGTGGTTAATAATCCAGTGCTTACCCTACAGTACCACAGCATTCCCAAATGGATACTGTTGTAGTTGTTAAGTGCCATCGAGTTGGTTCTCACTTACAGTGACCCTGTAGAGGATTTCCAAGGAATGGCTGGTGGTTTTGAACTACCGACCTAGGGCTAGTTCAGTGCTCATCCTATAGCACCACACCAGGGGACTTCAAAAAGTTTGTGGAAAAATTCCATTTTTCCGTGAAATTTTTGAAGCTCCTTCAACTATATGGATGATTCGGTGTGCATAAAGCATTTGAAAAAGAGAGAAAGGTAAATCAGCTATCTATAAATGCTATGGAAGGATTTGTTCTTGCTAGTGAGACCCTGGTCATGGTCTAAATTGGACAACAGAATTGGACCATTGTGATTTTGTTGGCTAACTTTTGGAAGGAGATCTCCAGGTCTTTTTTCCTTGTCTGTTTTCTCTGGAAGTTCTGTGAAAACCTGCTCAGTATTATAGCAACACACAAGCCTCCACTGACAGACAAGTGTGGCTGTATCTGAGAAGCACAGGCTGGGAATGGAACCCCAGGTCTCCCTTGTAGAATTCTGTAGCTGATCCATTGTTGTGGAAAAAAGCCCGGTGCACAGAAATACATTGATTATGGTTGTACGTTGGGGTAAACACCAACTAGCCAGCTAATCTCTTACCTCCACTAAACATTGTGAGCTTGTTTATATGAGTGAGAGAGAGCTGTGCAATGGTGTGCTCCAGATGTTGACCCAGGTCCTCTCAAGAGAGCGGCTTCCAGGGAGGGTGAGTGGGGCTGGAAGAGTGACTAGGCTTGATCTTAAACACATCTGCTCCATTTGCATGTGTTTTTTCCCTCAGAATTTGGAAAATACCAAATGATTCAAAGGAAAAAGGAGATATTATTTTGTGGCTCTTCCTGTGGGCTTGCTTGAGAGATCCCAGTTGCTGTGTGTGGAGAATCCCTCTGCTACCTAGTTCTGTTTAGACTCACCTCCACCCCACCCTATCGGTTCCCACCTTTAATTCTCAGATGGGGAACATAAGACCTCAAAGTGAGAAAGAAGGGTCTCAGTCAGGGCCACAGGGCACCTCCTGACTCCACCAAAGCTCCTGCTCCAGGTCCATTTCTGGGGGGGCTGAAGGATTAAAGGGTTGCAAGTTCAGAGACATCACCGAATAAAGGCATGGGAATCTGTTTTGTAAAGATAACAGCCAAGAAAACCTCATGGAGCAGTTCTACTCTGTAACACAAAGGCAAAAGGAAGAGTAGAGAGGGTTATCCTGAGGGGACAGGAAGAAAGGAAGGAAGGGAGAGTGGGCTGAGAGAGAGGAATGAAAGAGGGGAGAGAGAAGGGAGGGAGGCAAAGAAAGAGGGACAAAGAACTCTGAGAGGGAGGGGAAGGCAAGAGAAAAAGTCAAGGAGAGAAATGCAAGGTGGTCAGAGAGAAGTGAATGTGACAGCGCTCCTGGGGAGCTAGAAGAGAGGGCGGGACACACACACACACACACACACACACACACACACACACACACACACAAGGGGCAACCATGGGTAACAGTTTGAGAGGCATCAGGAAGCAGATGTGAAACTGTGCTGAGACCAGGGGGGATGGAGAGACAGAAACCCAGAGACAGAAAATGGAATGGTGCTGAGGAAACATCTGAGAATAACAGGGTCAGGGTTTCTGGCAATGACAGAGACAAGAGACAAAGGATTGACATACAGAGACAAATAACAGAGATACGGAGAAAGATGCAGAGATAAATGAGAAAAACATATAGACACAGAGACAAAAGACAGAGAGAGATGCAGAGACAAATGAGAGACACAGAGAGAGTCAGAAGGTGACTCAAGACATGTCAGGTGGGGAGATGTCCACGCTGTCCCTTCCTGCATGCAGGATACCTGCTCGTGGGCAGACATCATGGGCTACCTGGGTGGTCAGGGACAGGGAAGTGTCTGTGTGGTGTGGGTGTCTGCTCCTGCGACTTCGTGGCGGTCCCTATGACTGTTTATGTGGCTGTGCGTGACCGGGTCTGTGTGGGTGGAAGGCTGCCTGGCAGGGTGACTTCGAGTGGGGGTTATCTGTGCCAAGGCTCTTCCCAACTGTGTGTGACTGACGCTCAATCTGGGCAGGGCTTGAGGGACTCCTCGGGGCAGGTGGGTACACTGAATGCACCCTGCCTCTTGAGCCCCCAATTGCTGCCACCAGCCTTCTAGCTCCCTCTGCCTGTTCTAAGGGGGTTATCTCCTTGACAGTCTTCTCCCTGGAAGGTCTGGCTGTTGGGAGAGACACAAGGTCCAGCTACACATCAACCACTCTCCTATCCTCCACTGCAACACATCCCAATTAATGCTCTGAACTCCCCCACCCCAATTAACCTTTCCACCCTCCCAGCCCAGTTCCAGAGGAGACCCAAACCTCTCTTCCCCCTCCTCCCACCCAAGGACTTGGATTAACCTTCTGCCCCTGCGTTAACCCTTCCCTTTCCTCTTCTGACAGTGGATGCCCTTCCTCCTTCATCTGTTCATCTCTCATCCTCTGTCCAGTCTGGGAACCCCAACATCCAGACAGAGCTAGAATCTTTGTCCTCATCTATCACCCCAACACCTAGACCCCTACTTCCATTCCCCTATGTCTCTGTAACACTTTGGAATACCAATACTTTCTCCCAACCCAGCTCCAGAAATTGCAGCCCCTTCTCAATTGGGAGATCAGACAGAAGCCTCCCATTACCAATTTTTTTTTTTTTTTTTTTGGTCCAGGGTCCTAGGTATCTGGACCTTTTGGCTTCCCCTCCGTATTGATCTGGGAAGGTATCCATCCCCTGCTCCCTGCCCAGAGACCATACCCCACGGCCCAGACAGGACCTACTCCACCCAGGGACCCCTTTTCTCCAAAAAATGAAGACCCTCCACCTGACACCAACTGTCACCCCAACACCCCAACTTAGCTCAGAGATCTTGCCTCGGAAGTGGGGGGCTCCGACTTCAAGGTCTGACCCCCTTCCCCATCAGGGGCCGTAGACTCCTGCCCCCAGGCTGGGACAAGGTGTCCGCGACCTCCCAGCCCGGCCAGGAGCCAAAGCTCTCCGCCCTTAGGCCCCGGCTCCCGCCCCGGGACGCGGACCCCTGCCCGAGGGTGCAGATCTAGATATCCGAGGACCCTTTTCTCTACCCGGGGGATGCAGCCCCTGCCTCCGGGGCCCAGACCTGGTCGTCCGGAGGACTCCCCTTCCCGGCCCGGGATGCAGCCCCCCGCGCCCCCATCCCCCGCCCAGGGACCCTGGCGTTCCGGCTGAGCCCCCCGCCCCCGGCGCTGCGGTACCTCGGCTGATGACGGCCAGGCCGGCCAAGGCGGCGGCGGCGAGGAGCCGGAGCCGGGCCCC